ATATTGCGATAGCTTTTATTATACTTTTTTTGTCCGTTCGTGCATATTTTAACTTTTTTCCGCATATTTAAATAATTTCAAAAATAGTACAAAACATTATACGGGAATAAATGTCCATATAAAGTAAATTTGGCAACTTTGCAAGGCGTCGCGTGTTTCCCCGAAAAATCCGTTCGCACGTAGGTAATTTCCCAAAGTTTAGCCTTACGCCTTATGCCAAGACTTTTGTAATTTATTTAGGTAGTGACGACGAGGTCGTCTAGTCTCCTGTTTGTTTGTATCGTCTGTACTTGGATTTAATTAGCTGTACGTAGTAACTCTTTAAAAAATGCCAAAACAAAAGCCAACCATTCACACAGAACACACAAAGAACTAAAAATTAACAATAAAAATATTTTTTTGTCAAGCAAAAACGGTTCTAAAACTGTAAGTAACAATTCGCAAATTCTTATTTTCGTCTTTGTTTCCTGTTTAAAATATAATTTTATTTTTCTGAATTTTTTGACTCTTAAGAGATTTCCTTTTTGACATTAGTTAAACGGCTTTAAGATATAATATAAAAAAATATTTTCGAAGGAATTAACAAAAACGAACAGTAATATTATTTCTAGATTTGTACATGAAGAGTTAAAGAAGTTTTTTTTGCCCGATGTGGTTCCAAATGAAAAAATTGTGTTGATGCTTTCCGACGCAGCAGCATAAATGATTAAAGCTGCATCAAATCTTAAAATTTTTTACTATAATTTCATCCATTGCACCTGCTTAGCACATGGGCTTAACCGCATAGCTGAAACTATAAGATTGCAGTATCCGTTGGTCAATAAATTAATAAAAAATGGCAAAAAAATATTTATAAAAGCTCCATTGAGTATGCAAGTTTTTAAGGAATATTCCTTTACCCTCAGAACCTATTTTAACACGGTGGGGAACTTGGCTAGATGCTGCCTTGTACCATGCCAATAATTTTAACGAATTTAAAAGCTTGATACTTGAATTTCAAGGTACAGAAAGCAAACCAATTCAAGAATGCCAGGAAGTTTTAGAAGTACCCGAACTTGCACATAATTTGGCTTTTATCAAAACCTATTTTAAATTTGTAAGTCAGCACATTCAATTTTTGGAAAACAGCAGCTGCCGTTAGTGGAATCCATAAAGGTTATTAAAAATTTTGAAGCTGCAGCAAATAGCGTTCCAGGATCTATCGATCAAATAATAAAAGAAAAATTGGTTCACACTCTTTCAAAGAATACAGGGTTCCAATCATTGCAAAAAGTATCTACTATTTTGAATGGTTATAGATCCAGCAATTACATATACCAAAATTTAAATATGCACCTATAACCAGTGTAGATGTAGAACGAAGTTTTTCTGCATACAAAAACATTTTATCAGACATGAGACATAATTTTACTACGGAAAATTTGGAGAAACATTTAGTTATATTTTCTTTTAAGCCTTGTTAATAGCAAATAAGTATATTGAAAATAAATAGAACGTATTAAATGTAAAATAATAAATAAAAATAACAATATACAGTAAAGTCCGCTTATAATGAACCCGGTTATAGTGAACTTTCGGTTAAAACGAACTTTTTTCCTTTAATTGAAACGTCGTCCATAAAGACCAACGTATTTTTTTACTGGTTATACCGAACCCGTCTATAACGAACTTCCGGATATAACGATCACTTTTTAGGTTAGTTGTATATTCACTTTCCATTTATAACGAACTTCCGCGCTCAGCAACACGTGCGGGGTTGTTTATATTAGTCAGAGCGAAAAACAAACAGTCACTTTTTTTCCCGCGTTATGTATGTAAATCGTTTTAGAATGAAAAAACAAAAACGCGAAGCTTTTTCACTAAATGAAAATTACGAGATTATTAACAAAATAAAAAGTGCAGTAAAGCAGAGTGACATGTGTAAGGAATTAGCAGTTGAAAAGTCTACTGTTGCAACAATATGGAAAAACAGAGAAAACATTTCATCAGCGTATGACACAACAAATGTTAGAGTAGGAAGTTAAAATTATCTGCACATGAAAAGGTTGACAAGGGACTTGTCTTAGTGTGACTGACTTAGTGACTTAAGTGGTTTACTCAAGAAAGACAAGAAAACGATCCTATAAGTGGCAGTGTTTTGCAAGAAAATGCTAGTGAAATGGGGAGTAAAATAAAAAACAAAGAGTTTGTTTGTTCGAGAAGTTGGGTAGAGCGTTTCAAGAAGAGGCATAATATCAGTAGCGGAAAAATTGTTGGAGAGTCTGCCGGTGAAAAATTCTTCTTATGAAAATGTTAGAGGCGATCGACAAAAATGAAACATTTTCTATCAATCTCTTAGATGCAGTCAATTTCATTTATAGAGCTTGGCAAAAAGTTAGCCGAAAAACCATTGCAAATTGCTTTAACCATGGTGGATTTGTAAGAAAAGGAAATGATTATGAACCACACGATAAAATTCCATTTAACGAATGGTTAGAAAAGCATAAAGACTCTGACTACGAGTATGACACAGACGAAGATGTCCCAATGTTGTCGAAGAACAAGTGAAAACTAAATCGAGTGATTTCAATTTATTCCAATATGTGAGCATTGATAATGGCATTCTTACAAGAGAAATTTTGACTCATGCTTTAAGGGATAATGAGAAAGATGACGATTTAGGTGAAACGTATTCTACTGTAAACTCTAATGCTGTTCCAACCATTTCTCAAATGACAAAAAAGTGTTAGAAACTCGGAATTTTCTACAATCACGCCAAGTTCCCAATCATATCTGGGAGTCATTTTGTGATATTGAAAAGTACATAAATAACCTTTTTTTGGCAGCAGAAATGTACAAACAAAAATTACAGAATTTATGAAGTAGATATCAAGTTGAATTTTGTTTATCTTTTCGTCTTCTTTTTAGTCATACCTACTAACATCTACTACTCTATGTAAAAATAACGAAATAAAATACACCACGTGTTTTTGTATTATTATTCGCTTATAGCAAACTCCGGATATAACTAACCAGTTTTAGTTCATTTTTCAAGTTCGTTATATTCGGACTCAACTGTATTATCATTACAACTTGTTTCCATTTTTTTTTAAATGTTTTTTTTTTATTTTGCGTTTTCAAAAATATTTTCATGCTTTTTTAGCCACTTTTTTCCATTTTTTTGTGCTTTTTTATCCGGTCTTTAGTTATAAGTCATTTATTAAAGCTTTACGAGACCCGATACTGGCATTTTCACATATAAAAAAAAGGTCATAAACATTTTTTTTAGTATCGTTTTACTACTTTGTTCAAATGAGTAAAAAAGTCATCTATATTTTCCCAGCAACAGAACTCAGAGAAAGTCGACGAATTTTCTTGTAAAATGGATCTCTTATTTTTTTTTGCATAAAAGCTTCAATTCGCCAGTATTTTACAGTAAAACGTTAGGAAAAATGCGGTTTTTCTGTTTAGAGGCAGTGTTGTTTAGAAATATTGACCTAAAAGTGAAGAAACCCCGGTTTTCAAGAGTTTTCCAAATAAATGATTATAAACTTTTGCCTTTTCAGTTCGTTTAAAAAAAGAACCAGCATTAATTATTATTAGGGTTTTGTCCATAATTCAAACCTGCAAAAAGTTTTCCAAACATTTTTGCAAAGCGCAGAATTGCAGAAAGCAAAGAATTGTTTAATGGAAACTTTGTTAAAACTAGAATGACCTGAAAATTTATTGAAACTTTAAAAATCTTCAGCGCGATGATGGCGGCGAATTTTCCAAATATTTTTTTGTAAACTTTTGTTCTCTAGTCTTTTTATCAAGATAATCTTAATTACTTTCGGTAAAAACTAAAAAAAAATATTTGGTTTCTGTGCCAAATTCGAAGCTGAAAAGGGTTTTCTAAAGTTTCCTGCAAAACCAACGAATGTTTGTTGTCAGAAACATTGTTGTCACGAAAGAAGAAAATCGTCAGAAAATTATGTTTTTTTGCGTTTTTGATTCAAAACTTTTAGTTTTGTGATCGGTTTTGGAAAAAACCTTAATGATTTTCGAGAAAAAACGGGACGAATTGATTTTGGCTTTTGTCTCCAATTCGACGCTGAAAAAAGTTTTTGTAAAATTTTTACAAAGCCATAAATTAATCTTGGAATTTTTCGCGTAAGAGACCTCCAGATCGTTAGTGTTTTTAAGTGACACTACAAAATAGAGCGTCCTTAAGGATTCGAAATTTATTTCATAATTTGTAACGGAAAATACCTTCCGTTACAAAAGTGTGTCAGCATTTATAAGCGAAACTATAGAAATTGAGCATTTAGAAGGAAGACTAACCGCTAAAAATTGAAAATTCTGAAATTATGAAGAAATTTTAAAAATATTATTAGTAAATGGCCTTAAAATAAATCTGAAAACAAGTCAAAAAAGGTCATTAACATTTTCCAGAAACGGAACTAAGTTACTGTGACGGGCGATGGGTTGGCGCACCCAGCAATTTGCGTAGTACTGCGTCAACTCCTAAAAATTCACTAAGTTGCCCAGTATCTTAGTACCCAGTATCGGTATCACTGTGGCAACACCTGAAAATCCACTGTGTCACCCAGGCCTATGTAAGTCATCATGCCTCTCTTGTGAAAATAAGTTTATATATGTAGTTGGATAAAAATGCCACATTAAGATTGCCGAATTCAATTGTGTTTCCGATTACCACTTCTAAAGCAGACATTTGTACACTCAAAAAAAGTGATTTCTGGACGGTCTACTGTACAAATAAGTCTGTATTTGTAATTAAAAAAGTAAAATTGCCAATACTGCTACAGGAGCATAATAATCATCAATCCCTTCTCAGGGAAATGGACCAGGGAGAGATTGGTGATTAGGAGAAAGAGAACATTTTGTAAAGGCATCTGTGCTCACAGATTCTAATTTTTACACCTAGAATTTGCAGTTAATTGAAATCGATGAGATCGTGGTCAATTGAAATTGGAAAAGCATTTTCGCTTGGAATATTCGAACTCTAACCGATTACATACCTTTCTCTTAGCTTCAATGCTCTTGTCCATGTGGGTGGACCGAACCACCTTCCTGGCGAGCGTATAAGTAGATTCTTTGAGAGTGTCCTTAGTTCGGGACGCGTCGTCCTGGTGCTGGCAAGGCTCCGACTTGATACCCGGTTCCATCACCTGGAAACCCTTTGAAATTTAATGCAGGTCAACATCAGGTGTTAGTGGCACGCATACCGGCACCTGCATAAACTCCTTGATGAGGCTGTAGGTGTTGCTGGCGCGCTTCTTCTCCGTTATGCCCAGATTCGGTAGCTGACAGTTCAGGCAGCCTTTGGTGCTCGGAGTGGATCCGTTTTCCGAATAGACCATCAGGCTCTTCTTGAGCGGATGGTTGTGCAGGTTCGGCGAGCTGTTGGACTTTTGACACACTGGAGGAAAACACCAAGGGAGGTTTCGGTTGAATAAAGAAAACGTTTTCGTTTTTGGGATAGGGATAAATAGATGATAATTTGACTAATTGAAAGATTTATAAGTGGGTTCAATATGAGCTCATTGTAGTCTGATGATATTCTTGAGGCTGCCTAACTGAAGATTGCTACAAGCACTGTTTTTTGGCAATATCTCAAACAAGCACTTGTATAATTTTTTTCCACACGTTTTGCAAGCACGGGGGGTTTGCATTTTTAGAGGTGTCTTGAGCGTCTGATTTTTAGGGCTACTTTTGCAGGCCGAAGTTTGTCGTTTATTTCGTCTCTTGTTTAATAACTGATAAAAAAATGGATGCACGTTATAGAGCCTCATCTCTGGTACAATTCGGCAAAGTTTTGACTTCCAGTCGTCATCAGGGAATTTTTGTCTAATTTTTAAAAATTGCGTCTGATTTATTAGGTCGCTTTCTCAGATAGGATATCAGCGAGATAATAGATAATATATTTCGTAAATGAGAGAGTCACTTTGGAACTATTCTATTGAGCAAAGTCTGGTTTACTAGTAGCAAAAATCTGCATGTTTTATCAACAAGCAATTTTGAAGGATTTAAAAAATTCCGTCCGATTTTCGTAGTAACTTTGCGAGCCGGCGTTTAGCATTTATGGTTTCAGTTACTTGCCAAGTGAGAAAATAAAATTTGGATGCTTTTTGTCCAAAGTAAAAGTAGACAAAGTTTCCATTTGAAATTGATTGAATCATGAAGCATTTTTTAGAATTTTTCAAAATTGCGTTTATTTTACAAGTTAGCTTTTGAAAGCCGAAGCGCATGCATTTTTTCAGCAACCAATAGAGGGAAAAAGTTCGTTCTGCACATTTTTATAGGGCAAAGTCTGTTCTGTATGTAGCAAGAGTGTGAATTTTCCGTCCCATTAAAAAAAATCTCAGTAATTTTTAAAAATTGCGTTTGATTTTCATGATTGTTTTTTCTTGCCTGACTTTCGTATTGTTTTCGTCGGTAACTCGCAAAGCGAAAAACTCAATTTTCGATGCTTCTGGTAGGGCCGCATCCCTTGCATAATTGGACAACGTTTTAATTTCCAATCAAAATCTGGTAATTTTTTAAAATTACTATTAATTCAGGAAGTTGCCTTTACACGCCGTAGTTATAGTTTGGCTTTTATTTATTTAGAACCTAATAAATCAAGAGGGTCACTTTTGTGCGCATTCTGTCGGATGATTATCTGTTTCATAAGCAGTACAAATTTGTATTTTTAGTCAACATCAGGCAATTTTCTGGAATTTTTAGAATTTCAGGCTGTTTTCGTAGTGATGTTTGAAGCCGGTTTTTAGCATTTATTTCTTGCCAACTGAGAAAGTACAATTTCAACGGATTTTGTAGGTAAAATATCTTCTTTAGGTGCACAAAGTTTCAATTTTCAGTCATCATCAGGTACTTTTTAAACATTTTCCAGTTTTGTTTGATTTTCTAGTGTGCTTTTGAGATGCGGATTTTGGCATGAATTTATTAAGGGGTTAATGCAGAAAAAGAGCTTCTTTTCCAAAGTTTCTCAATAATTTTTAAAAATAGCGTCTGATTTTCGTGATTTTGAAGGCCAAGTAGATGATGGTTGCAAAGAAACGAAACGTCGTAATAAATTTTAATAGACACACATCTTGTAGCGTTCGAAGAGGTGCAATGAGAAAGCTATTTTCGTATTTTTATATGATTTGAAATAACTTTAAAAAGGAAATAGAAGACAAATTCGAAAAACCAGTTTTTCCTAAATACCTCACAAAGTTAAAGAGGCCTTCTGCGTATCTCTGACGGTTTCGGAGATCCCCATGCATCCTTCGAGCTATTTAAAATTGACATTTATTGGATTTAAGCGAGGAAATATTTTCAAAGTTTGACCTAAAAAAGTACCAGACACATATACTACGTTGCTGATCGCACGGGTAATTAAGGAGATTGGGCTCTATAAAAGTGACGAAAATAAGACACCCTGTACAGGGTGGACCACTAAGAGAGGTGGGCGGCCGTATCTCAAAACTATTAGTCGTATCGATTTCAAGTAAAAAAATATATAAGTAAAGTGGCTCAGGGAAATGGCCCGAAATAACTTTAAAGTTTGCACAATGACCGCTTGAGGGAGAAATTGCAATAGTAAATTTTAAATACAGATTTTTAGCCGTTTCAGATAAGCTAAGGTAGGTTGGAAGTACCTTGTAGGAGTACTATTGTTCTATGTAGTCAAATAAAGAAGTGGGGGAAGGTTAAATATTGGTTGCACAAGTTTATGACAGCTCCGTCCTGGCTTAATTAAATGCAAAATTTTAATTCTAGTTAAAAAGCTCTTTATTTAGTTTAACTCATCCTAAAAAATATTCGCTGTTATGACTGCCTCTTTGGCCGCGAGAGGGCTAGTTATGAAAGGTCGTGAAACTTTGTCGTTTTTCTTCAATTTTTTAAATGTAATGATATATAGTATTTAAGCCGCTGATCAAGAGAACGAAAAATGAGATAAAGTAGTCAAAACCGCATGTCGCATTGTTTATTTTGACAACAACATACAAACAACTCACCTAACTGACGGAACGTCGGTATGTCTACTCATGGACATCAACAAGGCTTTTGATAGTGTCTGGCATAGGGGCTTACCATACAAACTATACAAACTCCACACACCACCATATCTACTACACACCATAAAGATTTTATTAGAAAACAGACAACTACAAGTACGAATTGATAACACACTATCCTTTTCTTTTTTGCCTGAACAAGGGCTCCCTCAAGGATCTCCGTTCTCACCCTTTCTCTACAGTATATTCTGCCATGACATACAATTACAACTTACCAGACAAAAATCAAATCGAGAGAACGGCATACATATTACAATACGCTGACGACGACAACACGGCACTTATTGTACACGACAAAACTACTGAAAAAGCGACTGAAAGACTCCAAACACTAACAAACACCACAATGACATGGTTTTATAAATGGAGACTAACGCCAACCGCGACAAAAAACCAACTTTTGCTCACGAACCACAGACTCA